AAAGTTGCAGTTTCATGCATCAACCTTTTGAGGAATTCAGGATATTTCCCCTGTTCATCTATAGCAACTTTTATATTATATACTTTATATAATATTTCATGGTTCTGTTTGGTTTTGATCAACAATAACACAACCTACACATGTCCCACTTTTTTTTACATGTTCACCGAGGAAAACAAACAAAAGCACAAAGGTTTAAATCAATGTAAAACACAGACAAACATGCAAAATGAAACAAATTGATAACAATTAATAGACCAGTGTCACTAAGGTGAGTGTGTGCACTACCACTCCAAAGAAAGAAAGAAAGAAAACAACTAAAACAACATTATTCCATAAAACCCACATGTGCACATTTTAAAAAGTTGCTAGATTCAAGCAGAGCTGAAAACAAAACGAAGCTGAAACTCAGGCCGACTCTAAAATTGTCGTGTGTCTCGGAAATCGCTCTCAAATGTTCCCAAATTCATTTCAGTGACGCTGCTTCGGCCAGACTGATGCACGTGCGCTGGAAACGATGCATTAGTTCCTGAACTCTTTGAGCTATTCCTGTTCAGACCCTGCAGCGTGTGTTTGGGGGAAAGCAGCTCAAAGCCAAATGATGGGATTGGTTAAAAAGCAGATATACTGTACATCAAAGAGGCCATCTGTCCTTTCAGTCTCTTTTGGTTTGTAATGCAATCTATCACTGATAACACACACAGAAGTGAAGGATGGAGAGAGTGAGGTACATCAGCCTCGAGCAATGAACCTGGCAAGTCTGGAAAAAAATTGAATAAAGTCATGATTTCTATTACATTTACAAGCGGAGGAGTGGTAGTATATCTCAAAATGACAGATGCAAAACTGACTGGAGCGGCAGACACGTTCCTTCTATTCCTGTCTTTAAACTGCCGTCATCTAAAGTTCTGCCGTAGTTCTTCTCGTAGCGCCTGACGGAAAAGAGAGAAAGACACCGTAAAGATAATAGAAAAGTAGATGAAAACAAATAACTGAGACATTAACTTTGTGAGGAATGAGTAGAAAAATAAAGCTAGAGGAGAAGAAGGAGAAGCACGAGGAGGAGAAGAGTAATGAAGAGTAAGAGGACAAGTCAAGGAGGACACATACCCCTGAAAAAGTTCAATATAGTAGTTTTGTAGTATTTATGTTTTAGGGTTTAACCTGAGCCAGGCCACACAACAAAGATATAACTTCCATACAGAGTTAGTAGCATACACCTGTTGTTATATAAGTTATTTTTAAATGCACTGGTCTCTAACAGGAACACGGTATCGGCTGATGACCAAAGTCCAGGTGTTGGAAAAGTAAACGTGGTATCAGAACATCTCCTATTAGCTGATTAACGCGCACAAATACACGTAATCAGCAAAATTTAAATCGAGCATCGTGCAATCACTTCACACAAGGGTGTCACCGTTGGCTTTTATCATCCATCAGCCCCTCAGCCGCTCCGCTGATTCTCTAAGCGACACTACAAAGTGATTTATACAATCAAACTGTGCAAATATCGGCGGGAAACAATTATTTTTTGATTTACACCACTCGCATCGAGCAGACGAGGTCCACGGAGAAATCTGATGGAAAAATATTCAATTAATAGTTGCTATAGGAACAAAAGACAAAGCACTGGTCTTGAAAAAATGATTGATGAGATGTGTTGTGAAAGTTGAGATGTTTATTCGTCCTTTACTGTGATTTCACTCCTGCTGACATAAATACCTGTGCCTCCTCTAGATGAGCAGGTACGCTCAGGTCTGCGGAGGAATGTGCCGCTTTTTCTCCACCTGCGGAAGAATGGGTTGTTAGCTCAACGTGGAAATAGAGAGCATCACATGGAAGAGCCTTGGATCGACATATTTGTGATGTGATTTATGGATAACAAGGAAAAAAAACCCATGCGTGTTCCGGCAGGCGTAAAAATATACTCAGTAGTCGTGCCAACAGAACATCTGTAGCCACACACACACACGCACACACACGCAGTGTTTGTTTGCTCTCTTGTGCAATAAATGATCAAATAAGAAAAAGGGAAGAAGTATAAAAAGAAGCCGATGGGATTTTAACCAGGGAGTCTTAACTCGCAGCAACGTGCGACGTCACGGGGCTAAGCAGGGGCTTTGCACAGTGATCCTCCTGGTGTGTGGCTTTATGAGAGGGCAGATGGTAGCACTCAAGCAGGAAGTGATTGACATAATGACATGTCCGACCGTAGAATGTGTGTGAGTGTGTGTGTGTGTGTGTGTGTGTGTGTTTCCAAAGATACGTTCCTAATAAAGTGGATTCAGCGAAATCCTTTTTTTCTTCTTTGAGATAAACCACGTTACTCGTCTGTGTGTATGTTCATGAGAGCGACATCCAGGAGCTGTTACGTCTGCATGTCGACACACTGAGAGTCAGCTGATCGAGGCTCTGAGAAAAAATAAATTTGGTACAAAACTCAAAGAGGATATAATTAGATTTTAACGGACAAAGGTCAGAGGTCAAGCTCACTGTCGTCTTCTGTGTCTGGAGTTCTGTGTTTCCTGTTTTATTTTGAAGTTTCAGGCCCTCCTGCGTCTCCAGTTTAACTGCCTGTCTCATGTGTTTCACCTGTCTTCAATCATCGTGTCTCATCGGTGTCTAAAAGTCTCTGTGCTTCCCTTTCCTCATTCCTTGATGATCTGCTGGTTCATCACGGTTCACGCTTCCTCATTTCTAGTTTCTTCTTGTTTTTTCAATTTAGCCTTGATTGAGGTTTTTTTTCTAGTTTCTGGTGTTGTTTCTGTTTTTGGACTTTGTTTTCTGTTAGTACCTTTATTAAAAGCGTTATTTTGCTCCTGCATTTTTGGGTCCACCTGCACACCTCAACTCTGACAACCTCAGGAACAAAGTAAGTAAAAAAAAACAATCAAATTTAAATAACACTGACTATGAAGACAATTAATTTTAAAAGTTGAAGAAATAACCGAGGGATCTTTAAATGTTTTATAAGTAGCTTGCATCAATAATAAACTGCTACTGACAGTCACCTCCTCTAACTCAGCAGCGTTTCTCTTTGAGTCGGCTGGACATGAGTCTGCGCCTCGTCTAGAGTGCAACAAGTGAGATGAGAAAAACAACAGAGAAACACAGAGTCCGAAAAGAAAAATACTTTATTAAGCGTCATATAGGGAGATATGAGTGATAGTGGATTTTACAGGACAGAGGGAGTGTCTTTTCTGGCACCGAGATACAGAATGATTTCATAATAACTTTCCCCGAACAAACGCACACACGCACGCACACACACACACACACACACACACACACACACAACCTGAGCACCAGCTGGTTCTGCCAGAAGTTTTTTCTCTTCCTCACCAAACTTGTTTCCCTGTAATTACTTAAGGTCTCCTCACTAAACTGCTTTGACATAATTTATGTTGTGATTTGGTTCTTTTCAAATAAACATGAATTGAGCAGAGAATGGTCCGATTTGCATTGAGCTTTATAATAATTGGGATCACACAGTGACCTCTGGCTCATTTCTGACAGGTAGCGACGCCCAGACGTTGAAATATTATGAAATATTGTTCTGCAGAAAGTGTTGTTACATTCTTTAGATCTTGATAACATACATATAAGGTGGGATGATGAAGTCTTGCTTCATGAACCGGTTAGCAGAGGTATAATCTATAGTCTATAGTTCTGAACGTTGCTTCTCATTTAGAGGGATATTATTTTCTCCACAGTCACCCAGTGTTTGCTCGTTGTGAGAACTAATGTTTTCTCTATAATGTTGCGTGGCCTCGGCCTTAAGGTACCTGGAGATAAAATCAAATTGAATTAAAAGTCTAAAATTATCGTTAAGGCTCCTCCCTTTCTGCTTTGGGTCAGCTGACGTCCTCTTGCAGGAGCTGGCAGTCACACACACACACACACACACACACACACACACACACACACACACACACACACACACACTACTGACATCTCTACTCTCAACACTCTGCTGTAGATATTTGTCTCTTTATTTGCAATAAACTAGTCCTGGTTTTATTTTAAGAGGAAGTTCATCCTTACTTGCTTCTTTAACTTTCTATTACTTTTATCCTTTATATTTAAAGTTCCCCTCATCATTGAACCAAATGAGTCCTTAAGTGTTTTAATTGCTATGTATTTTACCTGTGTTTGATCTTGATCAAAGTCAACTTTATAATCTGAATAGACATATAAGTAAACAGAACACAGTATAAGTATGCAAGACAGAACATATAACTACGCAACATATTAAGTACTCAAAAAGTATATAGTACAACGTCTGCAGTCAAAGTCAAAGTCACGCAGTGGATTCAGTGCAAGTAGAATAGTGCAAAAATGGATTGAGAGTGTAAAAATACTTCAAATACTCAGCAGTGGTATGTGATAGAAGCATTTGCAGTAAAAAGGTGAATTTGCTAAAAAAAAAAAAAGTAACAGGTGCATGATCCTTTAGAAAAATGATTTAAATCTCAGTGAGGTTCTTGGACAAACTGAAGGTTAAACCAATACAAAAGGCGTAAAGATGTTTTTTTTTTAAAAAAAGAAGTAAAAGGGTCTTTAATCTCGTTGTGAATCAAAACCTCTGCTCCTCCGCTGTGTCTGCATCTGTCTCTCAGTTGCAGACCCCTCCACCCCCTCCGACTTTAATGCAAGTTCAAGAAAAGATCACGACCAGGAGAAAACCTCTGTTCTGAGGCTGTGACACACCTTCACCCCCTCCGCCTCCACCCCAGGGCCCGCTGCTGGCTCCGTGTGTGTGTGTGTGGATGATGCGCGCAGAGCTAGGCTCCTGCATGCTGAGTGATGACGATATACCGACATAACTAAACCCACCTCCAGTTCATCTGAATGCCCGCGCACGGCTCTCCCTCCCCTGCCCCCC